GAAGTTTGTGTTACTATGTTTCTTTTCTGTAAGAATCTTTCTGGTTTTCGTTTTATACTGAGTACTTTGAAGATAACAGTACATAGTGTAATAATTATTGGTGTTTGGTGATGAAAATGTCTTTTATTTTTTTCAACAAATAAAAAGGAAAAATAAAAGCAGATTTCTGGGCCTTCTCCTCCCGCAGGGGGTTTTTGATTCAGTGGTCTGGGGTGGAGACTGGGAATCTATTTTGACAAGTTTCCCCAGGTGATTCTTTTTGCAGGCAACCCAGCCATGCTCAACTATGTGACTTTGAGCAAATGACTTACCCTCACTTAGCCCTTTAAAATAAAAAGCCCAAAAGTTTTAATGAAAAAAAAAAAATTGTCTTCCTACCTGGGCTATACAGTCCCATATTCCCTGCATTGACTGAGGTATGTGGTAGAACATGCCTCTAACCCTGCTCTCCAGCCAAGAATCAGTCTGTCTAAAGTAGTTTGCCCAATTTATTATTAGGAAGGTTAAGAGAATTCACAAGACCCCAATATAGTAGGCACTTTGACCCTTCATATTTTATGTGGATTATCAGAGGCTTCAAGCATGAGATTCCTGGCACCTGCCTAGAAAGTGCAAGGCCCTGGGTTTGATTCTCAGTACCAAAAAAAAGAGATTTCTTGTGTCATCACTGTTTACTGGTCTTTCTCTTTCACATCTCCAACTGCCAGCTCCCTCTTCTGTCGAGATAGAGAAGTTTTCCATTTTTTCTTACCCCCAAATAGGAATCCTGTATTGTTCACTATTATAACTTACTTGTTGCCTTCCCAGCATTTACCGTGAACTATAATTATTTTGTGTGTGTATTTACCCCCTTCCTTGCAGGGGTGGAGCTCCATGGGCATAGGGACCCTGTGTTACTTTTTGTTGTTTTCAGTGTCCAACACAGTGTTCTGTACATATGTGTAAGCGGTTGATAAACGTTTGTGTGTGTCCATCTCTTCTAAAATTCATCTTCTTTGCTGAGCGGAGGTGCTGGGGTTAAATAGGAGGATGCTTTCACTTGGGGCTCTTGCTCCATGATGCAGGTAGCCTGACCAGCCAGGGAAACTGAAGATGTCCCCCCGCTGTCTCATGTAGCCTGTTTCCCGGAGGCCACTGGCTAGATGCTTCCCTGAATTTGTGGTAATCCTCTGTGTTGTGACATTTTGGAGGGAAAACAATAATTTCTCCCTTAGGCAATCTTAAATGAGCTCTTTTCATCTATTTCTCAATCTGTAGTTCGCCTTACTAAGTGGAAAATGAAGGGGACCTTGGCAAGTCAGGGATTTTTTTTTTCCCTTTCATTTGATTCATGCTTTTCTGCCACAGGGCAAGAAGTTTGAGATCTTGCCAGACGGCTTGCCCTCCGCCAGGAAGCTCATATACTACACGGGGTGCCCCATGCGCTCCAGACACCTCTTGCAGCTTCTCAGCAACAGCCACCGCCTCTACATGAATCTACAGCCGGTCCTGCGCCACATCCGGAAGCTGGAGGAAAACGAAGGTATCACAGGGCCTTGGGTGGGGGAGAAAATGGTGCCTTTGCCACCCCCCATCTCTTACTGTGTAGCTGCCATGAATCAGGACTTTCAGCTCCATAAGGATGGGATTTTGAGACCAGGCCTGTTCATGTTCCAAGCATCTGCTCTGTTTACTTCTCAGCACTGTTGTGGAAGGCAAGGAAAGGCGCTCAAGTCCCACATGCAGACCGCCTCTTCGCAAGCTCTGAGCCTCCCCCAGTGAGTTAGCTACGGTGTCTGTAAAGTTTTCCCACACCTAGCTTGAAAATCGTTGTGCCAGGCCTGGGGTAAAGATTTATCAGCATCTCAGAGCTCTGTATATACAATGACCTTCCTTGGTGCTGTTATCCTATGTGATTGTTCCTTAGGGTAACATGACAATAAAGGTGGGCCCCAGAAGTGTCTCCAGCCTCTCTCAGTGATAGCTGAGAGGCCCCCACCTTGGACCCAGGATGCATGAGAGGGAACAGGAAAGTTTTCTTTGAGGATTTTGTCAACCAATCGCATGAGCCCCTTGTTGAGATGTAATTGATGTAGAGCAGTCTGTAAGGGGAGCAAGTCTGAGTGGGGAAGAAGGAGGGCGTGCTGGGGCCCCGAACATCTCACTTCAGCTTTACGGTATTAAGCAAATGGTTAGCTGTGTGTTTGAGTTTTGGCACTTTGTGTCCCTCCACTTACCACACTCCACCTTGTAATCCCACCAAATGCTGTGTCATATATTTGTTTATTTTTTAATGTTTTCAGTTTGTTTTGCAAAGTCATGTTGTAGTAATTAGACCTTACAATGATTTGCTGAGGTTGAGGTGTTTGTCAGGACGTAGACTCGTATCTTACATGAATATCTGAAGCAAGTTTTGTACCTGAGATCACTTTTCCTGAAGAAATAGGACAAGTGCCCATCATCTCTTAAATAACCTTAAAGAAGTATGTACGTCTGGTTGATGTCTCTCAAACATCTCCATCCAGAGAAGACCTTGGGCCGGGATTCCCTGGCAGTTCAGCTGCAGAACAGGAGTCTCTCCCCACCGCCTGTGACCGAACTGTCTGTATTAGGAGAGAGCTGGTACGGCCGTCAGTGCATTGGCTTCCGCTGCCGCCAGACTACCAGTTCTTCCCCGGGTGACTCATCAGTATGACAAGTACCTCTCCCCTGTGCTGACGTGGATGATAAGAGGAATTCAGCTGGGGACAGAGCACCAAGGGAGTCTGTGAGAATGGGTGAAAGCCAGGTGCAGAGTCTGTACTTTGCCAAATCTGCCTCATTCCTAAATGGCCATGATGGCACCTTGAGAAATTCATCAGCTTGCTGCCTGCAACATTCCGAAAATTCTTGCCTAGAGGACCTTAAGGGAGCCCTTTAGACCCTGAAAGAATTAGTGACCCTCCTCCGCAGGTTCTAAGGGCAAATGACCGAGGATTTGGAATTCTTGGAGGATAAGGTTCTGCCCATTGCTGTGCTTAGTACCAGGTATATTGGGGGCTTACATGAGCAGGTGTCCTTTTCCTTCCCATGCTGAAATAACAAACCACCGTGAATGGGGTAATTACAAAGAACAGAAATTTACTTCTCAAGTTCTGGTGGCCGAGCAGTCTAAGGAGCTGGTGAGGGCCTTCTTGCTGCACCCAGCATGGTGGGAGTGAGAAGGTTAGACAGAGAGTGTGTGCAAGGGACTACACCCCCTTCAGCGGCAAACTCACTACCCTAGTGATGGTGCTGATCCATTCAGGAGGGCCAAGCCGCCTCACCTAATCTCACCTCTTAACAGTCCCGCATCTTGGTGCCATTACAACACTAGTGAAATTTCAGCTTGAGTTCGAGAGTGGACAGACATTCAAACCTAACAGCAAGAAAGTGAAGGGGCAATAAAGACGTAAATCAAATCTTCTATTTGGATGAGTGGAGATTTTGGGAAGTTTTATTTTTTTTCTTTTCTTCCAAGGCAGACATACTTAGTGTTTTCTATTTAGACATAATTTCAGGTCTGGACATAATTTCAGGTCTGAAGAAGACCTTGAACCTAGTTTCTCTCAGCCAGCATTGGCTGTGCTGTAACTGAGTGCCGCTTCTTAAGTACAGCCCTGGGGCTGAGCTCACACGTTGGCAGCAAGGATGACTTCCACGAGGACCCTGCCCAGCAGTAAACAGGCAGGTGAGCGTGGGCTTCGCATGCGCGCACTGCAGTGTAGAGGACCTATAACTGGCTCAGAACCTCTCTGGAAGTTGGCGGTAAAAGGACTATTTGTAAAGACATAGGAAAGCGTGAGAATATTAGGCCCATAGTAATTCCTCATTGTCGTAGAACTGTGGGTCTCCAACACCCTACAGAAATGTTTTACAGGTGGTGATTTCACAATTACAGTGCATAGAAACTGTATGAGAATTTTGTGAGCCTCTTTGGCTCTCCGACTTCATCGGTGCCCCTGTCGACCTCAGAAGACAGGAGTCATCAAAGCTGTCTGCTTACTGGAAGATGGGCACGTGCTTCTGTTGTGGGGCTTCGCCGACTGCCCGGGTGTCTGCACTTGCCGCCTTTGTGTTTCACCCAAATCGGTAGAGCAACACGATTGGCTGGAGCATCCGAACGCTCCCTTGGCCTTCTCTGAGCTTTTTTTTTTCATCCTGGAAAGCACATTTTGTCTTCTGTTGCCCATTCGCTCTGAGGAGGCTCTGGTGATCACACGCCTCAGACATAAGGAGTATGCGAGAGCTTTTTCACTGAATCATGAAACAAGACCACCCACGAACAGGCTCCTGAGACCCCCGCTGGCATACTAGTCAGCATTTTCTAGAGTAACAGCCACCTAACATTCCCCAGATGCACTCTGTTTTTAGCATTAGTCTAATGTGTTATTTCTGAGCAGTATTAAGAAAGCAAGGGAGCTAAACTGTTTCTTTTTCATTTTCTGACCTAAAATAGAAAAGCGATGTTCTTGTATCAGTTCCGTACCTGCAACCCAGCTGTAACTCGGCACCGTGGTGTGATGGTTAGTGTTTGATAAACAAGGCTTGCCGGGGTCTGGCCGCATTCAGGAACCGCACTGACATGTTAAAGAGCAGCTTTACCAACCAAAGGCCACATGAGTGTAAATCATTAACCTGGTAGCAGTTACTGTGTTTTTTAACTAATTCAGCCTAAATGGAGAGAAACTCATACATTAATGAAAATTTACATTTAAGATCTTTGAAAAAAATTTCAGAATAGTTTCATCTTAAATCATACTCAGTAGCTGGAGCTAACAATGGACAAAATTTAACAAATGAACTAGTAAAACGGCTTGGCAGTCAGGACAATTACGTTTAGTAGGTAGCAGTGCTTCTGAAATTACCTGTGGAGAAGGACCAGATCTTTTGAATAAAATACTGTGGGCTGATATTCCTGCAGAATACAAATTCACATTGGTGGCTGTCATGGCAGTGTCACCCAGTGCCAAAAGTTTCCGAATGCTCTCAGTCACTGCACTTGTTTCACCGAGAGCAGTACCAGTGCAGACAGGGAATGGTCTGCGACTGCACTTGGAGCAGCTCTCTCTGGTGCTTGAACCTTCGCGGCCCTGAGTGGTTTGCATCCTCCCCTCAAATGCATTGTACCGGTTTTCATCCATTTTGAAATCTTCCTCCCTGAGCCGCCCTCTTATCCAGTCACTAGATGCAGAATGCGGCATTGGCTTTGGTTGTAGCCTGCTGACTTACATAAGCCAGCCTGTTGTCCCTCTGTCTTGGTGAAATGTGACGCTGACTTCTGTTCTCACCACTCAGAGAAGAAGCAGTACCGGGAATCGTACATCAGCGACAACCTGGACCTGGACATGGACCAGCTGGAGAAGCGCTCGCGGGCCAGCGGGAGCAGCGCGGGCAGCGTGAAGCACAAGCGCCTGTCCCGGCATTCCACCACCAGCCACAGCAGCTCGCACACCTCGGGCATCGAGGCGGACACCAAGCCCCGGGACACAGGGCCGGAGGACAGCTACTCCGGCAGCGCCATCCACCGGAAGCTGAAGACCTGCAGCTCAATGACCAGCCACGGCAGCTCCCACACCTCGGGGGTGGAGAGCGGCGGCAAAGATCGGCTGGAGGAGGACTCACAGGACGATGGTAGCAGTACTGTCCCGTTGCTAGCACCCTTCTTTGTCAACAGTTGTATCAAGTCCAGGCTCAGCAGAGCTGGTGGTCTGGGCAGCAGCCAAGGAGTGCTAATAGAGAAGAGGTGCCTTGCTGCCCTCCCCAGTGGCTTGGGGGAGTGCTGCATTTGGCTGTGAGCAGGGCATCCCTGTGGGGAGCCTCTGCGGCTATGGAGTGGTGTTTATGTGAGGGGGAGTGGAGGTTACCTCTGCAGCCCTCGCACCTGCACTTCTGACCCCCAGGTTAAATAAGATAGCAGTTGAGACACCAGAGAGGAGTGCAGCAACAGTGACAGAAACGTCTTTAGCTTCTACCTCCTCCGCTCAAAAAAGACTCAGGTCCACGACATTCAGTGAATTAGGTATTTTTTAAGTGCCTCCCACGCAACCCTGACTGTAGTGGGCACCAGGCTGCTAGGAACTTGCTCTCTCGTACAGAAATAAGACAAGTTCCACGGCCCAGCTTGGCACTGTGTGCCCCTCTGAGGCGTCTCTCTGTCCCCGGTAAGTCTGTAGCATCCAGGTTCGGTGAAAACTGCAGACCGTGCCTGGTTCCTGTAGAATTTATGCGGCTACCGAAGCAGGCCACCAAGCGCCCTGAGAACAGCAGCCCAGGAAGCATAAGCCTCAGGAGCTCCTCATCCCACTGGTGTCAGTAGTCCTTGATTTGGCCATAGGTAAATGACCTACCAGCTTCATTTGGCCTTGGTCATCAGAATGGAGTTGTCCAGCTTTTCTTCTCTCTTCAAGAGTAAGGAACAATTGATGGTCAAATCATGGCATTAGAGGCTATGTAGGTAACAGCAATACTATGAAAAGAGAGCTCATAGCCCCTGCCTAAGAATTGTCCCTAGAGTTTCCTGCTAGAGAGTCTCATTAGCAGATTTATTTTCAAATATGCATAACTGTATGTCTGTCCTCAAAAGTGTGGCTGTGGATAATGGCTGTCATTTTTCTTTGTGTCCTTACCTGTCTTTTTCATCCTTTTTTATCAGAAATTGAGATGTTGGTGGACGACCCCAGAGACCTGGAGCCCATGCATGAAGACTCTCTGGAAGTCAGCCCAGACATGTGCATCTACATCACGGAGGACATGCTCGTGTCGAGGAAGCTAAATGGACACTCTGGTGAGCGCTTTGGGGAGTGCTCCCTGAGTATGGGTTATCCTGGACCAGGAAGCAGGAAAATAGGAGCGGGGCTGTGGCTGTAGATCAGAGGCAGCCTGGGAGAAGGCCACACCACCGCCCTGAGCTGCAGAGTGCCCTCCACTGAAGAGAGGGCGGCCTGGGGGGGAAGGTATCATCCTGTCCTCTATGCTTTGGGCACAAGGTAGTTGTATCGTAGGGTTTTTACTTTTGCTGTTTTAAAATCAGAGCTGGAGAATCATGATGCCTCTGGAAGGGGCCTTAGAGAGACCCTTCCGTCTGGCTTCAGCCTTTTTACAGATGAGGATGCCTGTAGATTAGAGAGACAAGGGCCACCTGGCTAGGAACAAACCAGACCTCCAGGCTTGGTTTCTTTTGTTTTCCCTGGGCTATTATACTAATGCATATAGGAGTCTGGAGGGAAAGGGTGTCCCACGGGGCTGCCCCAAAACAACACTCTGAAATTCTGTATTTTTATGAATTCTTCTAAAAAACATGCCTTCACTGTCACCTTATTGTAGGGTTACATAATATATGTGTGTGCCATATGAAAGACAGTGTCTTAAAAAGGCAGCAGTGTGGGTTTTGTTTTTAAACCTCAGTCACCTCTGTTTGCGGTAGTCACATCTCATGTGTTAGTCTGTTCTTTAGAGAAGTGCTGTTGGCTTAGCCTGAGTGCTTATTGTCCTGCCACTTCCAGCTTGATGGGGTGAAAGGCCTGTGACCCCTGGGGTGGCCCATCCTGGCCCTGTCAGACCCACAGCCCCGATGCTCACTGAGCCCCTGCCACGTGCAGGTCCTTGGAATCGGAGGTGACAAAACCGACACGCACAGTCCCCCTTGTGCAGGAGCACCAGTATCTTTAACCACAGAGTCCATTTCCTCGTGCAGCTGAAGCACAGCCGGCAGCCGCTCCGCCAGGAGTGGACCTGTCCTGGTGCAGAGTCAGTGTCGCCGTCCCTGTTCCTCGCCAGCACCAGCTCATCAGGCTGGGCGACCCAGACACGCTTAGAGTTCATGTGCCAAGCTTTGCCCTTTTGCCCGTTTGCTTTATTGCATTAAATTTTTTCTTTACAAATACATTCAGTATACATCAAATGTAACTTGCAATGATATGCACATGATAGGTGTCTGGGTCGCTCCACGTGGGTTTATGGAAAGAAAATGGGTCTGCAGAGTCCCGTGAGAGCTCTCCAGGGGCTGAGGGGCCGGTCTTCCACAGAGTCCCCCGAGCGCCTGTGGGAGGGGCGTCTGAGAGCAGCAACCTCTGTTTCTGCATTCAGTTTTTATAAGAGTATTAATTTTATAATATTAAATAGGAATAAGAATGACTTTAAAATATATATACAATGTTTACTGAAATATTTTTAATAGCAAAAAAGGAAAACAATAGAAGATTAAACTACTCTGTTCACACAGTGGAGTGTTATATGGCCATTACACATGCAGCCTTCTAAGAATAGTTAGTAACATGAAAGACGCATAAGGAAAACAGTACAAATTATATAAAAGTATGATGTGATTAAAAATAAAAATGCTTTCATGAAAGAGAAAATACGTAAAATTATGAATAGTCTTTTCTCTGAAGGTAGGCCCCTGCATGATTTTATTCTCTTCCTGTGTCATCCTAGCTTTCCAGGTTCTCTACAGTGTGAGCAGTTTTGAAACCCTGAGCTGAGTCCGAGAGGGGCTCTATGCTCCCCTTCTTGAGGGTCACAGGACCGGATGGTTCTGAGCTTTGGGCACCGGGCTTCGTTCCGAGTTTTTGTGGGGGTGGGCCCTGGACAAGAGTGGTTAGAAGTGTGAGAGCCAAGGACACACTTGCCCACGGAGCCAGCCCGGGCCCCAGCCCGTACACAAGCCCACCTGTTTCCATGAGGTTCATTTAAAGGTTTGAGGCTCCTCAGAAGATGAGGGTTTTTCTCCAGAAAACCACTACAAAATCCAGCGTACCAACCCCAAACGTGTGCATCCCCTGGGAAGGTGTTGAACAGTCTGGGTGAGCCAGGAATGCTTTTACATCCTGTGCCAGTGGAACCAGTTCAACCGTCTGTATATACAAGGCATGTATTAGACTCTCAGTCGTTATGAGACAGGCCCAGGAGTTAAGGGAGAGGACACGAAAGGTCACTTCCGTAGGCTCCTAACAGCAGGTGAATAAAAATCAGCTTACCCACGTTCTTTTTTTGTAAGGTGAGGATGTGCTTTTCCTGAGAAGCCTTTCAGCTTGTGGATCTAGGGCTTGACCTGCTCACTTGCTTCATCTTTTGGCAAGAGAAATTTCAGCAGTGTTCACTTACGTCTGCAGTTCTTGTTGGTAATTTTAGCTTCTGAAACAGTTTTTCTCGAGGTACTTCACTCACATGCCACAGTCATAAAGGGAAACGTCAGCCCCAGATTTCTGCTTCTGAAAATTGAGCGTTCTCCCTGGGTACCAAGGTGATTCAGAGCTGTATAGCTCTCAGGGGCTCAGCGCTGAGTTCTCGCTTTGGGCTCGCCTTTTGAGTCTCCTCCTGTGCGATCTGCTGTAGGAGGTGCACACGCCAGTGGCCCTGACCGTGAAGAGGAGCTCCTCATCATCTCCGTGCATTCACCATTTAGTCATCATTGAAATACTAGGTGTGCTGTCCTCAACCCCATTTTATAAGTGGGGGGACAGAGGCACAGAGAGGCTAAGAATTGGCCAGGACACAAAGCTAATTAATTACCCGGGCCAGGTTCCAGCCCGGCCCTATTTGACTCCAGAGGCACGATGCCTACCCTACAGGGCTGCGTCACTGTCCCTCAAGGACAGAGTTAGTGATATTTGGCAGGAGGGGAAGGGACTTTATGAGATATTACAAAAGGCTGCATTGTAGCCCCAGCCTTTGCTTCTACTTCATTATGAATAGCTTACTCAAAATGTTTATTTTAGAAAATGCAGACTGTAAACTTCCTCCACCCCCAGCCCCACATTCCCTCATGACCCGGCATTTCCTTCCCGACAAGGTGTGCCGTGCTGGTCCCCAGCCACTGAAGGGGCACAGCACGACGCCTCAGTAGTGCTTACTGTTGGGCTTGCAAGTCCCCTGGTAGTGGCGTGTGTCGGGATGCACGGCAAGAGGTGTGTCCACATCTGAAGTGTTCATTGTTCTCTCTCTGTGTTTTACCCCAGGGTTGATTGTGAAAGAAATCGGTTCTTCCACCTCCAGCTCTTCAGAAACGGTGGTCAAACTCCGCGGCCAGAGTACTGATTCCCTTCCACAGGTACTGCAGGAGCAGAAAATGTTACATAGCAACTGGAGTTGCAAGAGATTTTAAATGGGGACTTCAATTTATATTTACACAAATGAGTGAAAAAATTCACACAAGGACACGATTCTTTCCGATACATACATTTGTGTTTTCTGAATTTCTGTTTCGTTTCAGAAATTAGAGCTAGTTCCACTTTGGTTTCTATGTAGGTAAACTATGTACTTCGTTTCACATTTGATACGGGTGGGAGCCTCTGGTGTTCAGGCTTTAGATTCACATGTGTGCGCACACAGGCATAGTGCGTGTGTGCCTCTGTGGGTTGAGTGACCTCAGTAACCAGGAAGAGTTACGTCCTTGATCGGTGTGTGATGGTAGAGATGTTTCCACACTCTGGTTATTCCATTCAGATCAGATTTTTTAAGTGTGCTGAGCTAGAGTGTTTGACGACCTGTGATCACTGGTTACACCATTAAAATAACTAAAGCTATAGGTGAAATACTCAAAACTCACAGTTTCAGCACTTGTATTTATCTGTGGAGGGCAGTTGTGCTGTTTTCCAGATACTCTCTCGCTCCCATGCCTTTCTCTCTCTGTGGTCTTACTTTTCCTCTTTCCTTTCTTTTTCTGGCATGATGACTCTTTTTCTGCTTTTTATCCTTGCTTCCTGCTCCAAAGTGAGCCTCCTGGGCTGCGCCCGGCTCTCCCCGCTCTGTGAGTTCTGCTGTACGGAACTGCCAGGCTCGGCTGAGAAGCGGGTCCCTCACCTACAGCAGGCGGGAGTTTGTGTGCACACTGGGAGGGCTCTGGCGTGAGCACGCGGTCCTGTGTGTGATGTCCTCCTGGGGCTGGCAAGACTCTGTCAGGACGAGGGTCATCCTACGCAAGTGTCCCTCAGATGTGACACTTCTAGCAGAAGTCCTGGAACATGCATCCCTAACACAAGTGATGCCTTATTCTAACAAGGTCGTCCATTGTAGTGCTGAGCAGCAGAAGTGAGAGATACAGTGTGTAGTTTCCCTAAATAACTCATTTATGATCAGGACAACTTTGAACCGTTTCTATTTTCCACCTCGGCTTGGGATAAAGACTTCCAGAAGCCTGGCGCCTGCCTGTAGAGCATTCGGCAGTGTGCAGCCCCTTTGCCTGTTGAAGAGGCGCCGCCGCCTCCTGGCACCGGCCTCCCAGCCTCTCACCAGGGACCTTCGACTCCACCCAAGAGCTACGGCTCTCAGAAATCCTGCAAACTGTTTTTTGTAGAATAATTGGTTTGGTTTTCCTTTTTTTTTTTGTTTGAATAATGACAAACTTGAGCACAGGAGTGTTGGTACATTGAATAACCACACCCTAGTGAAAAAATAAATATTATCTTTCTCTTTACCTTTATGGACTTACTTTAAGATGATTTCTTGATCTCTGAAATGAAGCACTAGTTGGATTTCCATTGGATTGGTTATTTCTGTGCCTCAAGTTGTCTGTCTGTAAACTGAGGACAGTAACAGCACCAGCCTCAGGGCGGTTTGGAAGACTGGGTGGCTTTGTACGGTGACGGTGAGCCTCTTAGAGAGGAGTGCCCAAACTGCAGCCCAAAACCAACTCACTTATCACAAAGCTAACACTGTGGTGAAACCTGAATGCTGGGGGCTTCGTTTAGAAAAACAGCTCATACGTTAACATCCTTTGTCTTCAGAGAGAAACAGCGCGCATGCCATAGGTTCACCGCCACCAGGTTAGTTAGCATATGCCAGGTCAGGGCTGGCGTGTACTAAGTGCTCGGGAAATGGACGCTGCTGCTGGTTTCAGTGATGGGGTGGATACGTATTTCCCACCAGCTCTCAGCAGCCGAGAAACCACTTTCTTACATGAAAGGCTGACTTCACTGCTCATGGCTTTGCAGTTTCTCTCTGCAGGGCAAACATGCCAACCTTCACTTAATCTCTACACTCAAAGTTGTTTCAACCTTCCCTTGTTTTCCAGACTATATGTCGAAAACCAAAGACTTCCACCGACCGACACAGCTTGAGTCTCGATGACATCAGACTTTACCAGAAAGACTTCCTGCGCATCACAGGTCTGTGTCAGGACACCGCGCAGAGTTACACCTTCGGGTGTGGCCACGAACTGGACGCTGAAGGGCTCTACTGCAACAGCTGCCTGGCACAGCAGTGCGTCAATATACAAGATGCTTTTCCAGTCAAAAGAACCAGCAAATACTTCTCTCTGGATCTCACGCGCGATGAGGTTCCGGAGTTTGTTGTATAAAATGCACCTGCGCGCAGCCTTGAGGGGAGCCAGCTCCTTTGCTGGAGGCCACAGGAGTCCTGGGTTCGTTACGGATTACTTGTGCCATATTGTCTTTACCCTGAACATAGCTCTTTCTTTATAATATTTGTGATGGAAACAAAAGCCTTGGGACAGTTGCACTTTAAGTATTATGCAAAGTAAAAAGAACTAGAGAATGTACAGCAAGACAAGTGCCCATGTATTGACTCTTTGGAAGAAAACGTGCTTTACTGGTTTGAAGCCTTTAGACTGTCAGAGTGTGGTATTTGTTGCCCATTTGTGATTTCTTTCATCAGTTAAACATAGCAACTCTTTCTCACATGAAAGATGTTAGGCTTGTTTGCTTGTACGCTTTAACCCCTCCCTTATGAAATGTTCATGGTTTGAAGGAGGAGAGAGGGCAGGGTCTCTCTCTGAAGGAAATGTGCTTTACTGCTCTGCAGCCTTTACATTGTTGGAGTGAGGTATTTATTGCTCACTTTTTTTTTTTTTACTTCAGTTAAACTTCACTTTTTTATCATGTTAGGCTTATCTGTTCACCTGAACATATTTTTACCCCTCCCTCATGAAACGTTCGTGGTTTGAGGGAGGAGAGAGAGCAGGGTCTCTCATCGGAATGGAGAGACCTCTGCTTGGTGCATAGCCATTGCTGCCTCCCCGAGGCTGTCCCAAAGTGAACACTAGCGGAACGATCAAACTGCGTTATGATAGCAAGCCAAAGATACGTACAGAACAGGAGCACCCGCTCAGGGCCAAGATGATGCGACTTAAGCAATAACCAGAAGACTGTGTGTGCTGTGATGTCTTGTGACCCCTCACGTCCTCTTCCAGAAAGCGCTCGGGTTCAGTCGAGTTCCTCATCGTGTGACAGATCAGTGACGCTCATGACCGAACTCATTTTGTGGAGTTTACAAACTGGTGTCTGTTGAAACAAGAATAGTTGGATTTTTTGTTGTTTTTAGTTAACAAAATCAAGTTACGGTAATGCTAGTTTCTGCTTAACCAGAATACCCTAACTGTGTATATGTTTTACACCTAAAAGCACATGGACTTGTGCGTGTCTGTCTGAGTTTCAAGCCTCCCAGCTCTTCATCTGGGCTCCCACGACTGCGTCGCGCACATAGAATTCCTTCTTCAGCATGGAGGAGACCTCGCTGAACGAAAGCCGCCCACAGAGAATCGGTGTGTACAGTGTATGTTAGGAGTGACTTTCCTCATGTGGCTTCGGCCATGGTCCTCAAGTCTGAGTGCGTGATAGGATTCCTTGAGGAGCTTTCAAAAAGTAACAATACCTGCATCCCACCCCCGACCAGTTAAACCAGTCTCTTGTGGGCAGCACCCAGGTGGAGTTGCCTTTTCTTTTAGAGTTTTCTACATGGAGCTAATACACAACAGGTTTGGAGACCGCCGACCCACAGGGTGTCATTTGTGAACTTTTGAAGTGAAAGTGTACAGAAGAGGTGTCTGAGAAAGGGCCATTTTTAAGATGCTGACTGCTGTGCTGCTGCGACAATTACAATGAAATGAGTTGGGGGCGTGAACGCGTTAGTTAGCCTTCTGATGTACAGTGCAAACGCTGCTCACACTTCACACAACTTCATAGCACAATGTCTTTCTACAGGATGTTTTTAATGATTTCGTATTTTACAGCATTTGTTTACCATATTTTGATACACCATTTTTGCTATCTGCCAGGTTTTATTAAAACTATGTATTATTTTCTAAAGAAACACTCATATTTTTGTACAAAAGTATGTTTTCAGGTACCAAGAAATAGCTATAAGGTAAAGCGGGACATAACATAACTCGGTGTTAGCTGTGTGTGGGAGCTGGTTCTAAGCCAGTGGTGCCTGGGACCAAGGCCACCAGTGCGGAGCGCAGCGCCCTGAGTGCCTCATCCGGAGAGTCTCACCTGACACTTTAAAAGAAAAGAAAAAGGTCTGCGTAGTTCTACATTCATGAAATTATTTTGCTTTTAGTAAATGCTTTAATAAGAAAAAAAAAAAACCAAAGTTTCAGATAACAGAATGTACAAAAGTATCTCACCCTGTAGATAGGAAGGGATCGTTTAATGACTGTTTCTCTTCTCGGTCCCTAAGTAATCCACCATTTCTTACCGAGCAGTGGTGGTGAACCTACCCCTTGAGTGCCACAGTGGGCTTTGTATCGTTCAAAACTCGAGAAGGTTTGCCGTCACTGCATGATGCCTAAGACACAAATCCTGGTGTCCTGGTACCCCAAAAGCTCAGATCATAATGCCGTGCATTTTCTTAGCCCTTACTATTTCTTGCAAAAACATAAAAAAAAAAAAAAAAAAGAAGTATTTACATGCACAGGTAGTGCTTTATACTTTTTCTCTACTCCAGCCAGAATCGTGTCTTCAGGATTTTGCCAGCATTGGTGATTTTGTGCACCCTCTTTCTAATTGGATTTATCCGTAGTCTGTGGGTTTTCAGAACTGAAACATCCCAGGAACCATTTTTCCTTTTTGACCTACTGATTGCAGCAGAATTATATATATGTGTGTATGTGTGTATATGAAAATCCACTTTGAATAATCTACATTTTTGTATTTGGAAATTGTTTTAAAAACTAAACAAGGAAAATAAAAGTATAAAGCTGTTATTTATTCTGCATTTGTTACATATCCTGTAGTAAGTATACCAGTTTGGTATATATTGCCTCTATACATCATTTACATTTGTATTTGCAAGAATGAACTTTATAGCTACATAAACTGTAAATAATCCTTTCTGTGAAAGGATCATACCGGCATGATACCAAAAGTATGTAAAGAAGAAGCCCACGTTGTTTTGTAATTATTTCTTACTGGCATTTCATGGTTAAGCTTAGCCGTCAATAAAGTTACTTTCTTTTTGCCTTTAAGGTGTCTTTTATTACTAGAATTCTCAATTAAGAAAGATGAATCAATTTCCGTTGTTCTGCCCTACAGTGGAGCACAGTAAAGGTCAACCTAAAGGTCCCATGTGATAAAATTCCAAGCAAAATGTCCCTCGTGGTGAGGTTGATAGCAGGTACTGAGTGCTACCTTTTGCCAGGCCCTGTTTCATGCCTCTTAGAATTGTATGTGTTAACTCACCCCTTCCCCGTAGCGTGTAAGGCAGGCACTATCATTGCTGTCGAGTCAGAGATGAAGGATCCAGGGTTCCAAAACGTTGCAATATGAGGCCACTACTCATTCCCGTGTGGGGCTGAAAAGAATCTATGTTGTAATGTAAATTTTATAAACTACTTTAACTCAGACCCTTCAGTCACCACTGGAGTATTGGTGTTCATTTTTTACAGTAGCAGCAGATTTCTCAATAGTCCCACCTCTTTTCCTGAAGGGAAATCCATTTCCTTCCTCTTGCTCCAGTTTTCTTGGCTATAAAATGGAAATAGTAATCCAGAGGACTGTTTGAAGAATTAAGTAAGATCATAACTAAACATTTATATGAAGCAAAGCTCTTTGGCCATTTGGAAACATCCAAAGCCAAAGCATTCCACTGGGGTGTCACTCATGCATTTTTTAGAGGACCTGTAAATTTAAAGTTGGAGTCAGTGGAAAAATCTGGTCACGTGTTGTGCGCCCGATCATATATGCATTGCGTTGAGTCCTCACAATCCCTTCATGGTCATCCTCATTTCACAGCTGAGGAGCAGTTAAACTTGCCCAAGATCCCACAACTAGCAGGTGATAGAAAAAGTTTTAAGCCCAAATTGTATCCCAAGCTTTTTCTGTTACAATATGCCAGGTTACCTGTTGTCTTTGGAGAAGGCTTGGAACCTAGGAGAGAAGACAGCCTCACAATTTTGGTAGTTGATAAGTGAAATTTATTCGCTAATCTAGTGGTATATTTGCTTTAGTATCCTCTATGACCCGTGCATGCAAGAGTTACTGGGTCATCCCTTTGGCAGAGACAGGGAAGACCTAGGATGAGGAACAGGAGGCAGGGAGATGAGAGAAGCTTTTACTGGGAAAATGAGCACTGAATGGGGACTTCTAGCAGGATGGGGTGACGTAAAAGGCCGTCCAGGCAAAGGCCTAAAGCCAGAGAACAGTAGCCATTCAAGGGCATTCCGGGATATTTTGGCTTGAGTACTCACTCTTCAGCTTGTGCCGAACAGCCTAAGCTGAGGACATGGAGGGTTTCTTCTGGATGGCAGGAAGCTACTAAAGGGAGCTGTAAATGAAGATGTGTTTGGAGTAAGAGAAAGAATAGAGCTTGCAGAGGGCTGGGAGGCTACAAGGCTAGAGAGACAGTGGGGGTCTGAACTAAGGGTGTGGCAGCAAAAATCAGGACTGTCTCATATACATGCATGTATATATATATATACACAAGGTCGTCATCTAAACTGAAAGCCAGAGACATAGGCTATTTTCCTATACTGAGGAGTAAGCTACTGCTTTATGTTATGAACTAAAATCTACTCTGCATGAATGCTCTGTTAAAATTGGCACAATGGCCATGCCTACACTCTATCAATGTTCTCAGCTCTGGCTGCACATTAAAATGACCTGGAGAGGGTACAGCAATGCCCGCACCCCAGCCTGGAGCTCCTGAGAGCCTTGCTTTGGGGTGTTACGCTCGTGGTGTTAACGTGAGTCAGGGTCACAACCCGAGGGTCTACAGCTGAGCCTCGGCAGCTGGGGTCAGTTCACTTCTGCCCTGGACTAGCACACGCCATACTCAGAGGGGGCGGTTCTCCAGGTGACCAAGTGCATGGCATTTTGTGAGAATTGCTTATTTTGCCCACAGAGCTATCTGAGAATGGACCAAAGTTCAAATGAGGTGCTGGAATTGACATTTCAGACACTCTGAATACACCCACATTCTAGAGATGAGCACGTGACACAGTACATGAGGCCTATGCGGCTCAGTACAAGGCTGGAGGCTAAGTACAGTAAAATGTTAGAAATCTCCTCCCTGTCACTGTTTCATTTGCCCCGTCATTTCTTGTATACGTTATACAAGCTGAGCCCTACACAGATTTACAATGAAAACAAGTCGGCTAAATCCACCCATCCCTTTGATTTTGAAGACATACATTTTGAGTTAATGGAGGAGTCTGACCTCTGAAAAGTCCTGCTCAAATGCTGTGAGCCATGCTAGGTGATGAAGTTACAGCCTCTCAAGAGATTAATCAAAGTCTATAAACAAGGCACAGCTATAGTCAACCAACTCCTTACCTAGGGTAGGTGTTCACCCGTCTGGTGTCAGCTGCAGCCCGTGAGGTCTCCACAGTGTACCGCCGTCATGACTGTGAGAGATGGATTTCCTAAGAGCAGACAGTTCCCAGCTTAGGAAGGAACTGTGTTCCCAGTTTGCTTCTAAATTGGTTGTCTGGCATGTAGAGCGCACGTCCCCAACTTCCTTAAGTAGCCCACAAATGCCTGTTTAACCCAGAGGTATTATTAAAGACGACTTTTCCCCCCTGTGTATTAGTAACCATCGGCCAAAGAAGCGATCCACAACCACGGCATACATGGCAGCTGGAGGAACCCCACAACCAGAGGAGCCCACACCCACGTTCCCTGTGCACCAGTAGCTCGGGGTCATCAGGATTCACTTCCCATGACTCCCCCGTGCCCAGCTATACTAAAAGTAGAAAAAAAAGCACTTAGCAGACCAAGCGTAGAAGCAGCAGCGTTAAGTAGCTGTCTGCCTTGGGGTTCCACAGGCAATGTTTCCATGTTGTCTCCTCCACACCCCGTCCTCCAGCCCACAGCCACTCAAGGCTGCTCTGCCACTGCCAGTAGGCTGAAACAGCCCTCTTCTCCTGATCCTCAGAGGTGGGAGGAAGAGAGCGGGCCTAGGAGCTTCTCAAAGCAGAAGCCACGGGGCTTTGTTAAGACTGCGCCTGGATTGCTGCAGGGCAGGAGTACAGTGCTTCAGAGAGAAGTTAAGGGGCCTACGTGAGAGCCTTCAGTATGAATGTGTGAGACCGTACAATCTACAGGGAGAGGTAAAAGAAGACCTAAATAAATCAATACGCCATGCTCTAAAAAGAAAGATGCGATCATATAAATGCCAACTGTTCCCGTCAATGGCGGCCCAAACCCCAAATGAACCATTTCGGTGGTGGTGGAGTGACAAGGACCGGTTTTACCGTCCAACCTTAAATAACTTTAAAAAAAGAAAAGCATAGGTACGAACAAAATGTTGTCAGTATTTGACAACAGGCAGCGCAGTGGCGTTATTCCCCAAAGGACGGAAACAAGGTGAACATGGTCACTGCCTCGGCTCAGAGCCTGCAGACCACAGCCCAGACAGAAGGACAAACAACCAAACTGTGAGGCGCTCTGAGGAGAAGGACGAGGACGCTGCTCAAACCAGCGGCTTGGCGGCCCGGGGGCTCAGGCTTAATCAAGACGTGGTCCCCAGCAGCCAAAGGAACAGAAACGTGTTCTATTTTCCACCATATGCAGGAAGCTCAGTCCCTTTTGTTTTCTTTTCAATATCATATTCTTCTCAGGAAGTTCAAAAAAAGAAAAAGAAAACCCACACTGGCAATATAGAGAATAAAAACCTTTAGAGGAAACAACCTGTTATTAATATTGTCAGAGAGAAGCTATTTGGCTCAGAAAACTGGAGAAGACTGCTAGATGTGAAGATAGACTTATGAGACCTCTGCAAAATGTGGTAGCCAAAATAAATGTTCTAGTGGAAGAGTTGGAAGATCAAGGAAATCGCTCAGAAGGTAAAATAGGAAGATGAAGAAAGCGACAGGAAGGGTAAGGAGTTTCCCAGCATGCAGTGGTCGGCGTTCATATATTTGCAAGTACAGAGATAGCTAGAGCGCTTATAGGCATGCGCAGAGTGTGTGTGTGGCGGGGGTGGAAATCTTACAGGAAAATTTCTCAGAACTGAAAGATAGGCATTTCCCAACTGAGGGGAAAATACAAGAAATGCCCAGGAAAATGGGTAAAAATGACCAATCTGGAAGCATCATCATATCATTTTTTAAAATTTTTTCTTATTAGTGCGTCATGTTTGCGTTCCTTGCGTGGGGTTGGTGTGTGCGCCTCACGCGTCTTCCTTCCTTCTTCATCCCCTTTTCCCTCCCTCCCCCTCCCTCCATCTCTTGATCCCCTTTCCACTTGACACAAATCGTCTCCCCACTTCCTTTTATCTACCTTTTATTGTGCTCTTTACTTATCCTTGGGTACCATGCAGTGTTAAAAGATCCTAAAGGAAAGATCCAGAAACTTCCCGATGTATTTTTAAGAAACAGAGAGTGAGTGAGTTTTCTAGTTCTGCGAAGGACGTGGGAGAGTGTGAGGAAGCACACATAAAATGACTAAGCGAACAAAAAGAAAAATTATGAACTCAGGAAAAAATGTGAAAGAAAAACGCTGTCATGGTACACCACATGGCTCTAAAATGAACACTGCCCCACTCATGACATAATAATACCAATTTAGTAAAAACAGTTGTACAATGTTAGAAGGGGAGGAAAATTCTATGTGCAGTGGTGAGAGGGTAGGTGTGTTTGAAGTGCTATAGTCTCATCTTTCATAACAGGAAGTTAACAGAGTGCAGTAGGAAAAGCAGTAGGCAGCTATTACAAGAACACTATTAGAAGAACAGGGTACATACTTTGCTTTTAAAACCACTTCAAGGGTTGAAAGCAGGAATGTTCAGGAAAGAAACAGAAGTGCTTGACAGTAGTGCCTTTTACTTTTAAGCCATGTAAATGCATTTATTACTTGGATTAAAAAATCTTTTTAAAAAGAGAAAAATGATTTCAGTCGCTAGCACTGAAGCCTGTTAATAACCCTCAAGTTTCCTGGAAGCCATCAAGAGAAGAGGGGTACGGAGCAAGAAGGGGCGGCTGAGGATTCGGTTCTGTTTGGAGCAGTGGGCTGTGGGCTTGGCCCCGGG